TTTGTGGACTTGATTCGTTTATGTGTTTAGATGTTTAATTGTTTATATGCAATGGTAATTGTATGTTTTGGGGGCTAAGTGTGTCTTGTAGCTTAGCAGCGGTGAATGTGTGCTTCGGGAAGGCTGTTGCGATGTGTACTAAGTTGATTTTGTTTTGTTTTTTATTTTTATTTTTATAGGATGTCTACACAAGGGAATAGAGAACGGATAGGCAGTATGAGTGCCGGTAGGGGCACGGTGATTCCTTTAGCACCTGTCATTGCAGCATCGGTTATCGGCGAGGAAGTTGCACGCGAGATTGTGAAAGCGGTGCAAGATGCTCTAGCTCACAATGACGATGACAACGGTTCTTCGGCGGGTTTCCAATTGAAAGAATATGCAAATTGTTGGTGGAAGTATGCTATGAACACTGTAGATGCCACATGGGTTGTTTTTATTGAGGCCTTTTTGGCCAAGTACTTCCCTCATTCTGCTCGGGAAAGGTTGAGGGAACAGTTTGTTGAGTTGTGCCAGGATGCTATTCTTTTGGCTTAGTTTGAGATGAGATTCACTAGTTTGTCGAGGTTTGCTCTAGAGGAGTGTCATTGTTGTGAGTTTAAGAGGCAATTACGTGATGATATCCGGAAGAAGGTAGTTGGATCTATGTGGAAGAATTATTATGCTCTAGTTGAAGAGGCAGCCCATGTGGAGGCCATGGTTAGAAATGTTGGTCAGGTCAAGGAGGAGGCCACTTCTGCAACTCCTATGGTTTATAAGCACTCTAGGCTCAGTAAGAGGGGAAGGCCTCAGGAAAACCAAACTTTGCCCAACACAACTTTTCACAAACACCTACTGAATAATAAATAGTATAGACGGGCTAAATCGCCGCCTAGGCCTCAATTTGGGCCTGGCCAAGATATTACACTAATACTCTCTTGGCTAGACAGATGATGCTTGGTGCTATTATCTGAAAGTAAAAAGAGGATGCAAAAAGATCGCTAAAAGAATGCCGGACAAAGACTTGTAGGATGAGGACTTCTTGTGGGACACTGGGAACTATGAAGATGTTGAGGCCCCCATGCTCGTTTGGTACATTAAGCATAAGAAAGGATCAACAGATATGGATAGCACAGTTTTGCTTTTTCTTAGTAGCACTATTTTTCTTTTTTTAGAATTTAAATAAAATGCACTAACACATGCATTTTTTCCTGGCAAATTTAGACACACTAAAGGAGAGATATGCCTATGCCAACCGAGATGCCCTTCGTACCGTGCTAAGATATAGGCAAAGAGATTGGACCGACGTACTCAACTTCGAGTCGACCTACCGATATAGAGGCAAACAAAAAAGCAAGGTTACATAATTTCTCCTAGAGCCATCACCTGAACCTGATTCCAACCTGCTTAAAATAAACCTTATTTCCTAATGGAGGAGCAAGATATGGCCAAAAGGAGAGGACTCTGAGCTCTTATCACTAAGCAAACCTTTGCAGCACCTACTGATGCTCAAATCGAGCAACATCCCGCTGAACAAAGGAGGTCGACAGTGGTTACCTTAACAACAGGTAGGGTTTTTTTTATCTTGGCCCAGCAAAAGGGCCCGAACTGCTCCCACCGAGCAATGATTGGTGGATGAAAAAGAGACTGAGCAGCGGGATGCCAAGCTGTTCAACTTAGAGACACCTCTAGAGGGAAGCCAAACTGAACGAGCTAAAGCTTCTACCTCCCCGGTGTGGGCATTGACCTTGACCTACAAGGGCCGGGCTGTGACCATATCTGACTTGGTATGCGCCGAGAAGGATCATTAATTGGCCTTTAAGTTGGCCAAAGGTCTCTACTTTCCTGTCGACATGAAAAGGCATGAGTAGTTGACCAAACTAAAGGCTATCAGGTCGGCTACCAAGTCGCTGGCTCTGGTGAGTGATAAATCTTCGATCATTTTCTTTTCACTTGTTTGCTTGGTCTTTCTAATATCCAGTGTACTCCACAGGCTATGCAAAAAAATCAAGTGGCACATCAACGCGTGCTGGACTTGAGGAAGGCTGCCAAAGTGGCCATTACTGACAACACTGCCAAGGATGCGGAGCTAAGAGAACTGAAGGCAAAGCTAGTCGAGATAAGTACCAAGCAGGATCAGTTGGCCTAGAAAGTTTGTATGGCCGATGCTGACAAACAGAAGGCTTTGGTTGATAAGAAGAATATGTGTTTGCACGAGCTACAAAAGCTCAAAAACGTGAAGGATGCTAAGATCAAAGCATTAGACAAGAAGATGGAGGACGTCGAGAACCGTGGTTATGTGGAAAGTAAGCAAGCCTATGTTAAACAATGCAAGGCTACCAAGGATATATTCTTCAAGGGCGGTTGGAAGGCGACAGTGGAAAAGCTTGGTTAGCCCACTGATTCTGAGGTCTTCTTGAATTTACCTCTACATTTCATTCAAAGTTATATGGCGACATCAATCAGCGCCGTGCAACAAAAACTACTTGAGGTGGAGGATAGACCGGCGACCAACCCCACTCCAGTCTTACTAGCTACTAACCCAGTGTGGTAGACAAATCCCCCAATCAACTAGAAATTGTCAGCCAGACTCAGCTGAGCGTCACCATCAAAGAAGAAGTCATCGATCTAACCGTCGAAGATGGTGCTAACGCCGAAGAAATTGTCAGCTACTCTACTTAGATTGGACTTTTTAACAATTATCTTTTTTGAAAACCCCATTCTAATTTTTTTTTTCCATCTCATAAAAAATAAAAACTTTTAAGAAGTCTATTCCTAGGCTTCATTTGGCTATTTGGGTTGGGTTGGGTTGGAACTAAATCAACCACTAAAAGATGAAATAGGCTAAAAAGTCAAGACAAAATATCACATATAAAATATAATTATTTTATCTTTTCTTTTACAAAAATCAAAAAATTCAAAAAAGCTAACCCGAACGATCTTTTTAGTTTCAATTTAAAAAAGACTCAATTCAAAAAAGTCAACTAAATTTTTTTTTACCAAACGATGATTGAATAAATATATTTTAATTTTTTTTTTATAAAAAAATAATATAACTCAAATAAATATATTTATTTAAATAAATGTACTTATTTAAGAAATGCAAATAAACTCTAAATCACAAAGTAACTTTTCTACGTCATTTTTGGATGTTGTTGCGTGCAAGTATCTTTTGTGTTTATTTATTAATTTGTCACTAGTTACATGAAAAGATGCAAAGCTTGTCCCTGACTCGATGCTCGGCATTGAGGTTGTTGAACTCTGTGTTTATATCTCTGTTATTAATCAACTTGACTTTATTTGGTCTTTGTTTGTAGCTGTTATATCAAAATTTTATTTTGTTTTTTTTTTTGAGAAAAGACACAATTTTCTTTTGGTTAAAATACCAAGAAAATTATAAGCAAATCAGAGAATTAATTAGGTCCCAATAGTTCGACTTAATTTTCATTAAGTTCTATTGAAAATAAATTTTGATAAAATTGTCGCTAAAAATAATTTTTTTGTGATAATTTTTCATATATGTCGCTAAAAATTGATAATTAGTGACTTTTTTTGTCGTGATTTTTATAAATTGTTACTCAAACTTACAATTAGTGACTTTTTTATGATAAATTTTTATCGTAAAACCTATTAGACAATAAGGCCTCGTTTGGGAACCCTTATTTTTAGTCAAAAAGTTACTAAATTAGTCAAAAAGTCAACAATCCATACCAAAAAGTCAAAGATTCTCTTTTTCTCTCTACTTTTTGCACATCTTTTCGTAAAAAGTCAAAAAGTCATTCCAAACATACTAATTTTTTTTAGCTCATATTTTAGCCAAATAGCCAAAAAATACTAAATTAGAATGTTCCCAAACGAGGCCTAAGTCTACTTATTAAGACCTACACATAAGTATCCCAAAATTTTAAGCAAATCACAGAGAAATTTTTAAGCAAACCAGAGAAAATTCAACTCAGAAAAATTTCAAAACATAGAGAAAATCAAAGAAATTGAGCAAACCAGAGAAATTTCAAAACATAGAGAAATTCTGTGTTATGAAATTTCTTTGGAAAAATGTTAAGGGACCTCAATCATTATGAAAAATATTGCATATCATTTATCTTATAAAATCTTAATATTAAGAACTTAAAAATAAATTCTTCTTTAAATTATGATGATTATTTTATTCTCAAAACTAAAATAAAATATCAAATTAATAATAAATAATAACATAAACTCAAGAACACAAGGAAAAAAAAAACAGTTAACTCCGGCATCACCTTATGTTGGGATATTTTTAATAAAAGTAAAATAATATGTTGTTTTAACAAACCAATAAATTGCGAGTTATGAAATTTTTTATATCTCATTATTTCTTTATTTAAAATAATGTTAAATAGTGGTTTATTATTATCATTAAGTGAGTATTTATTTTATTATCATTAAGTGAGTTTTTACTACTTTACTAGACTAGCACCTTAAACATACAATTTTGACTTTACGCTTATCTTTAATCGTTCTACTAGCAATTGAATTCAGAATCAATTTTTTTATGATACAATTTGCTATGAATTCAACTCAATGTTGTTCCCCTAAGCCCAAATCCTAGGTCAGCCACAGATATACATGGACTAATATAGACTCTTAAACTGTGTTTGAATTATAAATTTTTGTAAGAACTTGAAAGGGAAAAAAAAGAATCACTACAAGAAAAATACAGTTTAGTCGCTAAATCCTTGGTATTCGGCGACTAATTCATTTTAGTCGGCAAAAGGCTTCATTTTTGGCGACTAAATCAAGTTTAGTCGCCATTTGGTCAACTTTCAGCGACGAAATTCTTCATTTTAGTCGCCATTTGTGAAAGGGAAAAAAAAGAATATATGAGGCAAATGTAAATGAAATATAAACTAATTTTGTTTTACATTTTTTTTCCCTTTCATTTTTTAAATTCCTACCAAATTCATAATCCAACACAACATTTAAAACAATATAATTCAGAACATTTAAAACAATATAATGGTAGGTAGGATCCTATATCTATTTAAGGAAACAACTAGTAATATTTTCCCAAAGGAATCAAAGTTGTAGAGGCCGTTGGCATCAAACTTCAAAAGTTTCCAAAAAGCATTGTATTTATCCCTCAATCATGGCACAGGCCTCTGTGAATGTACCAAGGTACAAGCCAAGTAAACTATATTATTGTAATTAACACAAATATTAGATGTGCTTTTTCTCACCAATTTTAACTAATTTATACAGTTTTTATTTTTTCTTAATTGTTTTAAAATTTATTTTATGTGTTTCTATAGTTTCCTCTAGGCAAGTTAGATTGCCATTCTCTAAAGGGAGGGGTTTTTCAGTAACGTTTAAATTTACAAATTTTTTGTTATGTTTTCAAAAAAAAATTTAAGAACAACCATATAGACATGTTTAGTGACGAATTTCTTTTTATGAATTATTGTAACCAGTTTGTAAATTTGGGCAAAATCAGTTTGTAACTTGGCTTGCAAAATATGGCATGAACGTTAATGGGTTAATAATAGGTTTTGTGATGATTTTTTTGGAGAATAGTTTTCTCGATAACTGATTTAAGAACATATGGTAAATAGCCAATAGCCCTTTTTGTTTAGCATCTGAAAGTGAATGTGATTAGAAAATTGTTGTTGTTGCTGTTATTCTATGTATGTCTCCCAATGTTGACTTTTGGTTAATTGGTGAGAAAATTATTTATATTCTTAATTGAAGGAGTATCCCCTCTAGTCCAGATTTTGGACTAGAGGGTGTTGTTTGGGCCCGTGGAATTCACTATGGGTTTCGTTTCAATAATCCAGACAGTTTATTTTGTTGAATATTTTGTACATTTCATTCACATACAAAATTAGGTCAATTCGATAATTGTAACTTGTTCAATTTATTACGGTTTTAACCAAAAAAAATGTTTTTAAAAATAAATCATAAATTTTTTTGGTTAAAAACTCGATAAATTGAACAAGTTACAGTTATCGGATCGACCTAATTTTCTGTGTAGCTTAAATACACAGTGTCAAACAAAATGAACAAAAATGAACAGTTCAAATTATCAAAACGAGACTCGTAGTGGTCTCCACAAGCCCAAACAACACCCACTAATCCAAAATTTGGACTAGAGGAATTCTCCTCCTTAATTAATTTGCAACTATTATGCATAATCCTTATTGTCTTCTCTGCTTTGTATGATTCCATTGTTATAAATAATAATTAAAAAAAGCGTCCACAAATATATAAGGCCTTAATAGACAAATATATAAGGCCTTAACCAAAATCGTAAACATTACCAAACACTAAGGTGTCATTTAGTAATGTTTACAGTTTTTTATTTATTTTTTTTATTTATAGAAAACATAAAATATTTTATGTTTATTTTGGGTCAAAATAAAATAAAAAAAAAACGTGCTTGATACCTAGCATTTTAAAGTTTTATTTTGAAAATAAGTAAAAATGAGTGGTTGCAAGAATGGTTGGAGATGGTGACCGGAGGTTACCACCGATGAGAGGTGGTTAGTAGTAGCCGAAGGTGGTTGATGGTCACGAGAAGTGGTGGCCAAAAGGTGCTTGGATTGCTATCTATTGCTATCTGCCGTCTTTGTGTATCTGCTGCCTTTGCTATATGCTGTATTTTGTTGCTATTTGATGTCTTTGTGTATATGTTGCAATTTTGTAAGCTCTGTTGCAGTTTGTATCGGTTGGTCTCTCACCAACAGGTGCTTGGATTGATGTTGCCATGTAATTGTGTGAGTCGCTTAGTGCCAACCTAGCTTGAATTGGGTTGTCTTGTTATGATGGCCTTTGCATCATTCCCCCCCTTTGTTGATGTTTTTTCCTTACGTGTAAGGTTCTCTATCATCAATAAAGTTTTCTTCGTTATTGATAAAAAAAAGTGATTGCGGTTGGTCAAAGAAGCTGGCCAATCGGCCGCCTAATGTGGTTTTCAATAAAAGTTAAAGGTGGTTACCATTGGTGAGAGGTGGTTGCTGAAGATGGCAAGTGGTTGGCTGTTGAGGCGGGTGGTTGATGGCAATGGCATGTGACCAGTGGTTGAATGAGGTGGTTGGTGGAGAAGGTCATTAGTGATGATGGCCGGTAGTGAGAGCAATGGATAGTAGATGAAAAGGGTGGGAAAAGAAAAAATTTAAACAAAAAAGTGAAACCATTTTTTTTAAAATATATTTACGAAATTTAATAAATTTTGAAAATTATTTACAACTTTTAAAAATAAAAATAGAAACCAAACTAGTTTTTGTTGACAATTTTTTTAAAAATTTGTAAATATAAGTGTTATCAAATAGGCCCTAATTAATTGGATTTGTTGCAGCTATTCTTATTCTATTTGAAATGGTCATTAATTTTTCAATAATTTTAAGTATTCAAAAAAAAAAAAAAAAAAAAAAGCACTCAAAATTTTCCTTAGAAAAGTAGTGTGTGGTTTCGATACATTTAAAGTTGAACCTTACCATTCAAGAGTTATATTGGTTCATAACCAATTCATAATTGATACAATTGGTTCAACTGAGATAAACCACTTTTTTGTACTCGAAGGTTTTTAAAAAATTATAATCATGATACCAATTTCCTTTATATATCAGCAGACACTCATGGTATAATTACATTGTGATCGATATGTCTCCCATACTCTATTTAAAACCTTATAAAAAATTACTATTATTTTTCTATGATAGATTTTTTTTCTTCTTATATATACTTGAATAAAATATGAAAAATGTCATTTACCTAGAGTTTTTACACCAAAATTGGTCAATAAATATATACTTTTCTGAGTAATTTTTTTATTTTTTATTTTTTATTTTTTTGGATATATACAGTGTTGAGAAAACAAATTTATGCACATGTTTCAGATTAGAAGGAAAGGTAGCGCTGATCACTGGCGGTGCTCGTGGCATTGGCGAGTGCATCGCAAGGCTGTTCACCAAACATGGAGCAAAAGTGATTATTGCTGATATCCTAGACAACTTGGGTCACTCGGTATGTGAAGACTTGGGTGACGAACTTGCTTTTTATGTTCACTGTGATGTGAGTAATGAATCAGACATTGAACATGCGGTTAACACCGCCATCCTCAAATATGGAAAGCTTGACATCATGATCAACAATGCAGCTATAGCTGACGAACCTAAAACCAGCATTCTTGACAATGAAAAATTTGAGTTTGATCAAGTCATTAGCGTGAACCTAACAGGAGTCTTCTTAGGCACCAAGCACGCAGCTCGCGTGATGATTCCAGCAAAAAAGGGTAGCATTATTACAATCGGAAGTGTTTCTTCTAGTGTTGGTGGTGTTGCTTCTCATGCGTATACGAGTTCAAAGCACGCCGTGGTGGGGCTGACAAAGAATGTTGCTGCAGAGCTCGGGCAGTTTGGGATTCGCGTTAACTGCTTATCACCCTATTTCATTTTGACACCATTGACAATGAAATTTTTCAAGATAGATGAGAATGGTGCCTCTGGAGTTTATTCTAACCTCAAAGGGATGGCTCTTAGCTCAGAAGATGTGGCTGAAGCAGCTCTTTATTTGGGAAGTGATGAGTCCAAGTACATGAGTGGGCATAATCTTGCACTAGATGGAGGATTTACTGCTATAAATCCAGCTTTTGGATTGTTTGCGTAGGAAAATTAACTTGTTTGTAATCAAGTTGATGTGTTTGATATAAATGTACTTCAAATTTCTATAATAAATGTTCGATTAGATATTCCTATCTTTTTTTCATATCAATAAATATATTTATTTCTTAATTCCTGTGTCGCCCAACAAAAAAAAAAAATAATAATAATAATAATAAAATGGTTTCTTATATTTTTATTGTGTCATTATATTTATTTTGAGGAAGGGTTGCTAAGAAAATAATATGGCTATAGGATCTTTTTAATAATTAAAAGAAAAGACACAGACAAAAAAAATCTTAATGCCATATTAAGTATGCGGTTATTTTCGTTTTTTGTTTTTTCTAGTTCAGTAGTTGATTCTCAAATTGGATTTCGAGAAAGCTTTCGATTCTGTCAACTGGGAATTCTTATTTTCTTTGATGATCGGTTTTGGCTTTGGGGATAAATGGATCTCTTGGATGAAGACTTGTGTCTCTACAGCAAGAATCTCCATTCTAGTGAATGGATCACCTACTGAGGAATTTTCACCCCATAGGGGCCTTAGGCAGGGCGACCCGCTTTCACCTTTCCTCTTCAACATAGTGGCGGAAGGCCTTAACATTCTTCTAGTCAGAGCCCTTAATCTTGGCATCCTCAAAGGGGTGGTTGTTGGGTCTAACAATGTTCTTATCTCACATTTGCAATTTGCCGATGACTCAATTCTCTTTTGTGAAGCTGATTGGGATCAATTGGTATCCATTAAAAGAGTTCTTAGATGCTTTAAAGTATTATCCGGTCTCAAAATTAACTACCATAAAAGTATTACCTTCTTATAAGCATTCTAGATTGTGGAGAGACATTTCATCCATTGGGGCTCTTAATAGGCCTATTTTTAACTTCTTTGTGGACAACTGCGCTATAAAGGTTGGGAATGGTACCAGAATCAGATTCTGGTTTGATAGATGGTGCGGTGGCCGTTGTCTGAAATCTGCTTTCCCCCTTCTTTTTAATCTGTCATCTGATAAGGATGGCTATCTCCATCACTACGTTGCAAGGAAATCAAGTCCATTTGCTTGGAACTTTCCCCATAGAAGAGAGCTCTATTCATGGGAATTGGCTGAAGAGGTAAGACTGAATGCTTTTTTATCCTCAGCTCCAACTCTATGTTTGGAATGTGAAGACGGTCAAGTCTGATGCACTGATTCCGTGTCTGGTTTTTCTGTTTCTGATCTCTATTCTCACATTTCATCTCTTCTTGGCCCTCAACTTAAGGCAAGCAAATGCGTTTGGAACTCGTTATTGCCCCTTAGAGTTTCATTTTTTTCTTGGCTGTCCTGGAAAATAAGGATCAAATGTTCAGATTTCCTGCTTAAGATTGGTATCCTGGATAGCAATGCTTCACCCCTCTGTCACTTTTGCAGCTGTGAGTTAGAAACTGCTTCTCATATCCTGCTACATTGCCCCTTTTCTTGGTCAATCTGGTCTGTAGTTGTGGAGGAATGAGGACTCCATTGGTGTATTCCTAATTCAGTTGATGGTCTGCTTTCTGGGTGGATGAGTGGTAAATTTCATAAGCTTGACAGATTAACTTTGAGAGCAATCCCCTTAATTGTACTTTGGTCTATTTGGAAACTCAGAAATGAATGTGTGTTCTCTAATGCACAACCCATCTCTTTATGTCTCCTAGAGCTTATCAAATTTAGATCTGCAGTTTGGCTCAGAGCCTCCATTAAGGACTTCTTCTACTCAGTTGATGATCTTGTCTTCAACTGGAGACAGATCAGGGGTGGAACTTAGTGCTTTGGAATCTGTTTTGCAGCTATGTGGGCTGAAAACTTAGTGTTCTGATGTAATCTACATTGCTCTATGCTGCTGCCTCGTCTGTCTGCTGTTGTTTTCTGGCCTGGGTGTTTGATCTGTTTCGGTTGAAGTCTGCCTCCAGTGTTTTGGACTTCCCCTAATCTGTCTCCAGTGTTTTGGTTGCTATCCTTGGTTGCTAGAGTGCAGTGCAGTGTTAATTCTTGGTTGCTATTCTTGGTTGCTATTCTTGCTATTCTTGATAGCTCCAGTGCAGTGTTTTGGATGTTTTTCTTGCTATAGTGCAGTGTTCTGGACTTCCCTTGATCTGCTTCGGTTTTGTTCTACTTTGCTGCAGCATTTTGATGCTCGTTCTTAGCTGTTTTTCTGGTGCAGTGTGTTTAGCTGTGTTTTTTGTTTCTTTTTTGGCTTTCTCTGTTTGTTGGTCTCTCACTAACTAGGAGGTTTGAGCTTCATCTAGCTCTTAGCTCCTCTTTATTGATGTTTTCCATTGTACCATGTATGTGCTTCATCAATAAAGTTTTCTTTGCCGAGAAAAAAAAAATAAAAATAAAAAATAAAAATAAAAATAAAAACTTTATTGATACAAACGAAAGGTACAATGTACAAAATGAACACATCAATAAAGAAGGCTACAGAAAGGAAGGATGGACGTAGCGAAGGGAGGATGGAATCCAGTTCTAAAGCAGCAAAGGGTTGGGAGGCAATGTAGCCCAACAAGGGAGTCTGTTATTTTTACTATCTTTGTGGATAGTATACCGGAAAGGTTGAATCCCAAGAGATTGCTTCAGTTGTTCAACAAGTTTGGGGTGGTAAAAGATGCATTCATTCCAATGACAAGAAGGAAAGCCACAGGCTCTAGGTTTGGATTTGTGAGGTATGATTGCCCAGTTGTTGCAAGCATGGCAATTCAAAAAATGAATGGGGTCTGGCTTAAGGATAAGGTATTGAAAGTAAAAAATGCAGAGTTTGACAAATCAAATCAGAAGGAGCAAAGTGCATCGGTAAGAAGACAAGGCCAGTTGAAGGAGTCACAGTAGGTACCTAGCCTGAAACAGGTAGAGGCGGCATAAAGGAAATCATACGCTGAAGCAGAAGTACAAAGGCCTGAACAGAGGACAAAGAGGCTAACAGTAACAGTTAGTAAAGAAGGCAATGGCTGGCTATATGAGAGCCTAATAGTAAAGCTAAAAGCTTTTTTTCTCCTACTATGCTTTTAAAGATGAAGTTGCTAAAAGAGGGATGAAGGGGTTGTTGTTAGAGAAGGGGGTGAAAGAATGATAATTTTGACGTTCAGTTCAGTAGCAGAAATGAAGGAAGGTTATATAAAATTAAAAGAATGGTGTATGAATGGTGTGACTTAATGTTTGAGCAGGAGCAGTGTGTATGGTTATGGTGCTTTAGCATTCCACTTAACCTATGGAATGTGAATACCTTCAAAAACATTGGCAAAGTATGGGGAGAGGTGGTGCAATTCGATGAAGATACAATCAGAATGAAATCATTTCGGTACGGTAAGGTGAGAATCATTAAGTCACTTTGGATACCATAAGCTCGGTATTATTCCTGGATTATGATGGTAAGTTGTTCCCAGTCCATGTTTGTGAAGTTTACCATCCTTTATGGGCATCAAGTGAGTTGTATCATAATCACAAAACTAAGGAGGTGGAGGTGAATAAGGAGTCTGATCAGGTGTCTATGGTTGGGAGCTTATCGATAGCAAACAGCGGCGGAGAAAAGCCACGATCGGAGAAGGTTAAAGGTATAAGGCAAAGTGTTGAAGATGGGCAAGATATGGATGATGTGGAGGGAGCTTCTGATGTGGAGGATGATTGGGTGGACACAGGGAAAAAACATTTGAATGAAGTGGAGGGGAATTCAAATGGAGGGACTGTGTTGGTGGCTCAAAATACAGATACTATATTGGAGAGTTCAACTGACGGGAACTGCATTACTGAGGAGGAGCATGTGTCTGAAACAATAATGATGAAAAAGGAAGTGGATGGAAAAAATGAAGAGTATAATAATATTTTATATATGAAAAAAGGTAATGTAGTAGAAATGATTAGGCCCAATAAGAATGCTAAAGTTGAGGGGTTTATGAGAAGTCTTAGTGGGTCAAATTTAATTAGGCCCAATTTAAATTTGAAAGTTGTTTTAGAAGGGGCCCATGCTGGAGTTAAAGAGTTTACTGTCCAACCATGCCATCATTGGCCCTATATATTCTGACCCAAGTAATGTGGGGAATGGATCAAAACAAACAAAAAAGTTGGTTAGAACCAGGAAGAGTACAAAAGTCAAAAGAGGGAAATAGGTGTTTAAGGGAAGTTCTAGCGATAGGACCAGAGGAACTAGGAAAAGGAAGGACGTTTCAGTATTCGGAAGAAAATCAATGAGTTTTGGTAGTGGTCTTCAACGGGCAGCAATTTTTAGGGCAGCAGCAGTTGCCTTATCTAAACCAATATCACAAGGCAGTGGGTCTAGTAGAAGGAAAATGCTTCTTCATGAAGCTCAAGTGTCAGTTAGAACTGGGAAAGTATTGGGGGTGGATTATGAAGGAAATGAAGAGGAAGTAACGAGTAGAATCATAGAATTAAGAGAAAAGGATATAGAAAGAATTGAAAATTTTGCGAAAGGGGTGGAGATGGCTCAAAATTGAGCTATCTTCGAAGGTGGTGTGGGTGTTAGATATTGTTGCCAATGAAGGTTATGTCATGGAATGTGCGAGGATTAGGGAGAAAGAAAAAAATGGAAAAAATAAAGAAGTTGGTGTCTGATAGAAAGGTTAAATTACTTATAATGCAAGAAACGAAGAGGAGGAGTATGAATGATTGTTTTGTTAGGTCCTTATGGCCATTAGAAAATTTTGAGTTCATGGTGGTGGATTCAGATGGGAATGCATGAGGGTTAATTTTTGTTTGGAATCTAGAAGTATTCCGGTTAAAAGATTGTTGCCGCACCAGAAATTTCATTCTTCTCTCAGGTGTGTTTCATCAATCATTTGACTGTGTGGTTATAAACTTATATGCTCCAAATGATGATATAAGAAAGAAACAACTGTGGGATCTAATTATTAATATTAAGCCATTGTTTAATACACCTTGGTGCACAGGAGGTGATTTTAAGGTAATTCGAAGGATTAGTGAAAGAAGAGGCTGCACAAGAAGTGAGAGGGATGAATGATTTCACTGAATTTATTGATTGAACATAATTTTTAGATATGCCAATGATAGGTAGAAATTTTATCCGATGTAATTCTTTTGAAGGTGATAGACGGAGCAGGATTGATAAGTTTCTAGTAAATCCTATATGGCTTGAAAATTTTAGATTGA